ATTATTGAGAAACCAGTGAAGGTAGAAGAGCTGAGATACCCAGGTAAACTCCTAGAAATGTTTCAGTGGAACATTAACAACTATGTGTGAATAATTGTTATACAGGCACCAAATCACAGATGGGAGAAAGGGTGGCTCTTTTGGCTTGATCTTGAGGGTCCTGAACTTGATCTTCTCCATGCAGTAGGTTTTGTAACAAAAGTGAAGAAAACTAACCAAATACTGCAGTCCCTGAATGCTTACAAGCATTCTTTAGCAGCACTGAAAGTTTAGAGCCGGGAGGTAAGTGAAAGGTGACCCTCCAGARGACCCACTTGGGAGATCCTTCCAGGAGCACTGACCACTATGAAGCAGTGGTCAGCTACTTGCCCTGCAACAGAGGAGCCAGTACTCAGTGCCCCCAAACCCACATCACATGGTCTCACTTTTACTGCTGCTTCAAGTGGTGATGAAATAGCTGGAAGCTATGGGTTCACCCCCCCCGCCCCTTCCTACTTTGCAAAACAGTGTGCTCCAAAACATGGCTGCAAAGCAGTGGGAACCACTAGGGATTTCTTCAGGTAATGTCTGTAGTGATACCTTAGACCTGATGCTATTTTCACCCAAAATTAGGAAATTAGGTCTGCTGTATAGAGCAACAATAATGGCAAAATACATATAGAGCAGAAAATTCCTAACGAGATTTAAAATCATTACAACATCCATCCACCTTGTATAATTGAAACATGGCTGAAACAGAAACAGTWACCTTTCATTCACCTGGTAATTATTAGATAACTGTAGGAAATTAGATGACAATTTATTTCCTATACTAATAYGATCCAAAGTGTTCATTAATCTGAACTCCTAAACTGGCTTTTATTCAGACATTCAGTAAAATTAATGTCTTCATTAGCTCACTATCAATGACCTCTGATATTATACATGCTACCAGCTTTAATAAAATAACACTCTTCTTGTTTTCTCATATTTTCATTCACATACTAATAGATGTCTGATATTATTCACATTTGTCAATAAGTAAAACTATCCAGCAAAAAAAATCTGTACTTCATGTGCGCCCTACAGTCAGTTGTTTCAGCATTGGTAATATTTATGAGAAGTCAGTTTTGCAGGTTTACATATGACTGGGTAGCCAATGCCAAAATGGGCCAAACAACAAAATTAAAGAGAAGCACTACACTTTGACACTCACATTTGTCCATCCCTTTTTCCCACAAACACATGGAAAAAAAAAAAAAAAAACAGCCAACAAAAATCAAATTATTTTACAGTGTGTTTAAAAGGCTGACTAATCTCTGGTTTGGCACTCCAAAGACCAGGGTTAGAACAAGCACTTTCGTTTTCATGTCAGCTCCCACAACACTTAAATGGAATTGCGTAGGGAGATTTTTCCTTCCTTCTAATAAATGGGTGTTGTGTTTACATACTGCATACTGAGCATTGCCCATACGAAGCCAAGGGCTGCATCTTGCCAACTCTTAACTTTCACACAATATGGTGATTACATGAGCCAGCATACCATTAAATCACATAACAAAACTTGGAGAACGGTACTGTCAGCTTGCAGAACTGTACCTGAAGGACTGACATAAAGGGAAAAACTAGATTTCAGYTCAATGGCAGAACTGGGTCAGGAGAAGACTGAGTTACTGGCCTCACTTTAAACTACAAAGCCAAGTGCCAAATAGTTCATGGAGATAAAAAGTTGCAAGCACATAATACAAGCAGGTGAAGAAAATAAATAAACGAATCACTAAACATGCCTTACAAGATACACCCTCACCCTTAATTCTTTCAGGTCATCTCCTATTTATTCTTCATACAAYACTTTATTCCAGGATGATCTTTCCAGCTGCAGCACTCACAAACTGGCTTCCCTTGAGCAGAGTCAAAATCAGGGGAACACAGGAGACCTTAGTCCATCCATTGTTTAATGTAAATAGGACAGCATCTTTCTGGCTCCAGCAAATTCTCTTTTTCTATTTAATGAGCAGCAGATCTATACCTACCAAGAGCTCCCAATGTCTTCCAGTGTCTAGTGATCATTTTTTTGCAGAATGAGAAAAGAAGACTGATCAGAAGTCTATTTCCCCTAAAAGCAAGCTCACACCAAGCTATCACATGTCAGGTATCTGATTTGCATTTCTTATTTAGCCTGATGATATGAGACTAGAACTGCCAATTTGAGTACTAATTCTTTTTCCAGGAACCAGTCCACAATAATTTCTACAGAGGCTTCCACTTTAGTGACACAAACATACAGACAGGACACCCTAAGGTGGTAATTTAACTGCCAACAATAATGCATACGTTCAGAGGTAGAAAGCAGCACTGAGATCTAAGACACTTTTAATACTGAGGTGAGAGGATGTGCATCTAACTCACTGCAGGAGATCAAGTGCCTGAACCATGTACCTGTGATACCTTATCAGCCTCCAGAGCTACCCCATAGGTGACCCTTCTTTGCAACATATTTCTTAGTAACTTAATCCTATTTAGATTGTCTTCAAAKCATACAAAGGACAAGCAAATCAGAAAACTACTACATGTTTTTGCAAGATCATATCACACTGGCATCACTCATCCTGTTTTATTCAAATTGTAAAAGGCTGTCCAGGTATGAGTGACACTTTATTTGTTGTAATATTAGCATGCAAAAAGCCATAAACTCACTTCTGATAATAGTTTTAATTACTAAGTATATAAGCCTACAAATAATCTCATCCAAGTAATCCTTCAATAAGATTAATTCATGGAAATAGCCCCATTTAAAAAGGATTYGTATGACTGAACCCTAAATGCTTAATCATATTTTTGAAGAAATCATGACTTAAAAAAAAAAAATCCAGGTGTTGATATGTTTAAAACAGGGGGGTTATATATCCATCAAACCAGACTTTCATAAACATAAGTTCTAGGACTGACACTGCTGGGAAACGTGCTTCTGCAGTTCCTGTGGTTTCTCAGGCTTAGACTGATTTAAATAAACGGACCAACTTGCTCACGTTGACTCTAGTGCTCAGCACGACTCTTTTCTTTCAGCACGACTCTTTTCTTTCAGCACTTTCGTTGTACTGATGTATGACTCAGCTACTCCTTCAGCTGCACTAGTTATACATTATGTGTGAAACATTACCTCAAAGATCAACATCCCTGATTTATTTCAAGCAATATCCAAGCATCACCAAGTGTTTGCAAGGCTCAGTGAGTTCATGGTTCTTGCTTTCTGCACTATGTCTATTGCAGAATATTTTGCTATAAGAAATATTCACTTCTGGTCTTCCAATCTTGTTCTTTTCACTATGACAGTTACCAATTTAGACAATGACAGAACTAGCCCCAGGTGAGCATATAGATTAAGATTTACTTTAATGTGTCAAATGCCCCCATGTGCTTTAAGTCCTCCTTCTTGTACCCACTTGACTTGTTCTGTTTCTTTGCACAGGGTCTTCATGGTTTTAATGGCAAGTCTTCTTGAAGTATCTCCTGCTCCGATCCCCTGGGAATGATTAGTGGTTTGGTACCAGGTTTGTTTGCCACTCCTTCAAATATAGGAAACAACCCTTCAGAGAACTAGAAGTCTGTCACTGCCTCCAAAAAGCAGGAAGTATAACGGCTTGAAGGCTGACAGATGCTTCACCACCATGACAAGAAGCTGTTTCACAGGCTACAGCTTGTGAGCTCCTGAGTCAAGCCATATGGTCCTGAATGCCAAAACTGCCTGTCTTTCCCAGTTTATTGCAAGAGAGGGATTGTTCCTGCTTTGCTCTTAATTTGCAAGGGTACTCTGTTGATTTTTAAAAGTATATAGTTTGAATGTAATAAAATGCTTGACTGCTTCCACTCATAAATCCTCATTTGTTTGCTGAACATTTTTCCTTCACTTGTATGCTTTCATGGGCTAGGATAACATCTTGCAACTTTTTTTGCTACCCATTCCAATATTAAATGAGTGCATATTGCTAAGCACACATGAGACTCTCAGACTTTAAGAGGCCCTCCACAATTACTAATCTATTCAGCATATTTAAAGAATTTTGTATACAGGGTCTGAAACAAAATCTTTGAGGTACGAGAAATCTTTAGTAATCTAATGGGAATGACAATAATGGATACAGACTGCTAAAATTTGGAGCTCATAATTTAAGATAAAACCCTGCTGTACTTCAGCATCACAAAAATTAAGTCTCCAAGTGTTAAGCTCTTAAACATGGGTAGATTTTCCAGTCGTTTGGTCAGGTGAGATTTAAATATTTCAGAAAGTGAATATTTCTAATTACTGCTATCTCTTGAAAAAATATTTAACTACCAAAAATACTTCAGTAAGGTCTTTAAAAAAAAAAAAAAAAAAAAAAAAAAAAAACAAACAAAAAAAACCCCCAAACATTTAATATGCTTTGTGTCTTTTTCAATTACTGCGTGCTGAAACGTCTTCAGGCTATTGGTGCGTAGGTGACCCAGCAATTGCCAAGAAACAGATGAAGGCAAAAAGTATCTTTCTTCTAACCCAGAAACGAAGTGGGAGGCAAAAAACCCCAGCGGAGAAGGTATCGGTGTGCCTGTCCATGCACTGTTCTCTCCCGGAGCAGTCCCGGCTCTCGCTGGGGCCTGCCAGGATAGAGGGTATCGGGCACCTTGCGAAGTCCAACCTTAAAGTTTCTCCCTTTAGAGTTTCCTTGAGCTGCTTCTTGTTACAATTTCCCTCTCATGCCTATCCTTCTGATTCCTTCTGAAAAAGGCATAGCGACTGCAATCTCTACAGAACCTGCAGAAATAATGGCAGGGACCCTCGCAGCGGCAATCGAGCGGCACTTCCCGGCGGGATGCGGGAGGACGAAGGGCGGAATGCCGGGATTCCCAAAGCACCCGCCCGGCGCCGCACGCCCCCGATTATTTCGTGTTTTCGCACTCGTCGGGGTTACACAGATAGCTGATTTATTACGGCAAATTTTCCCAGTGCCTTCCGAGATTTCCCAAGGCTCGGCAGCCGCTCCGGTCGCTTGGTGCAACTTTTCCACGGGCTGTGGAACGCCGAGGGCAAGAACGGGCGGTAATTTTTTTCTCCCCTTAACCTCGCTCCCCCAAACCGCTCCCCGGCGGCGGCTGCGGCTGCCACCCCCGGCGGACACCCCCCAGCTCTCGGACAGCCCGGGAGCCGCCGCCCCCGCGGACGCGCACTCCCCGCCCGGCGGCTGCCCCGGCCCGCGCTCCGCTCCGCTCCGCTCCGCTCCGCGCCGGCGGCACAGCCCCGCCCGCGGGCAGGTGGGCGCCCCCCGCCGCCGCCGCCCGGCCGCACTCACTTGTGCCTTCTTCATAAGGAATGGCAGCGCTGCAGTCCAGCCCAGCCGGCCGTGTGCAAACTCCCTTCAGCGGAACTGTAGCTCCAGCATAATGCAGCAGCCGATAGTCCACGCATTGGGGTTGCCCACGGCGAGCCCCGCGTTGCCTCCGCCTGTCCCGCCGCCGCTCCGCGCGCCCCGCTGCGCCCCCTCCCCACGGCCTGAGCGTCCGCACTACTGATGCCACCGCCGGCCCCTGGCCAGGTCCTTTTATATCTCCGATCTGCCTCCAACAGCGGCGGCGGCGGCAGCCCAGGCAGGACACGCCTTTCCCCTCCCTCCCGCCCTCCCGGAGAACCGGGAGCCCAGGCAGACCCCGCGGGGCGGGGGAAACCCGAGTTAACTCGGGGGAAGTTGGAAGCAGGAACAAGCAGAGCCTGCCCCTCGCCAGCGCCGGAGGGGAGCGGGGCCGCGGGCGGATGGCCGCGGGCAGCGGCGGGCGGGGATGCGGGAGGGGTGTTGGCATGCGGGGCGGAGGGCGCTGGGTACCGGCCCCGGGGGAGTGGGTGCAGAGGGTACCGGGTGCAGAGGGCGCCGGGATTTCGGCAGTGCCCGGGACAGGCGACCCCGGTCGCCCGCGGTGGAGCGGGGGGGGGGTCTCCGGCCTTGCCGCGGTGGGCTCTGGCTGAGTGCAGGGAAGCCGCCGCGGCATTCGAGGTCAACCAGGCGGCGGGCGCCGAGCCAAGCCCTTGGGTTGGGTCCCCCCACCCACGGTGAAAAGGGGGGTCCCCCCCTGGCTGAACCCGCCGTCGGCCGCCGCCTCGGCCCGCGGCGAGGAGGGCAGCGGGCTCGGAGGGTGGCGGGACTCCCAGCCGGTGCCCGGTGTTCTCAGCGCAGCGGCCGCTGCAGCGGCGCCGACAGCCGAGRTGGCAGCCCCGGGTTTGCCATTGCCATTCCAGTGCTGCTTTCCCATAATCGGTGAATGCAAGTTAAGCAGTGGGATAAGCGTTTCAGCTGGAGCTTGGAAACTCCTTTTACCTTCTTCAGACAGAAAAATTGTTGAGCAGTGCCTCCTAACGCTTCTGCAAAGGTGATCCTGCAGGTCTTTTCACATGCTATTATAATTTGCATCCCATGTAAATAATGCATTAGTGTTGGGTGTGGAAAAGCGACTTGACTTTTACTTCTTGGATTCTTCTGGCCAATCCATCTCAACAGTAGCCACAGAATTTGAGTCCTCTTTGGAAAAGACTCCCAAGGTTAAGTGGACTAAATCTTGAATGTGAATTAAATGGAATGTAGAGCAGTTTATGGAACTAATATTTCCTGAAAGAGCAATTCTTGGTGAAAATCTAAGAAATGTTAACACAAAGAAAGGATAGTCTGCCCCAGTCAATGGTCATTTCCTAAAGGAGATTAGGTATGCTAATCTGCATAGGGAATGCTCAAGACTGCACAGGGAAGCCACCTGAAAGACATTTCATTAGAAAARTTTGTTTTGTTTTTACCTAGAATTAATGATAAATTTTTAAAATATTAGATTTCTGCCAAAGTAAAGGTGTGCTGTTCACATACAGAAAGGATTTCAACTCATTTCCAACTTTGCTTTATAGTTGGATTTCAGAATAGAGGAGATAAACATCGAATATCATTTTGCTTCTGCTTCCAGTCCAGAAAAATTGGTCAAAAATTTCAATTTTCTTTTACAGTACTGAAGGATTAATTCCTTTTTTTCTTTCTTTTTTTTTTTTTCATTTTATGATTAGTACTGTGAAGAATTATCTTGGAATTCTTAGGTTTCCCTGTGAGCTTTGTCAGACTTTTATATGCATATAGTAATAGTTTCTTCCTCTAAAGCAATAGAGAAGCAGTGAAAGGGAGTAAGCCTATAACAACAAAAATAATCAAGCACCTCATTCACTGAAAGGACAGTTTGTGTATCATCTAGCAATGATCAGCCAAATCTTTTACAGTCTACACATTTAGCAAATAGGGTCAAGACATAAAAATGTTATGGCACATTTCCTTCTTAGAACAGATGACCAGTTTAGTCTCCTGTGGAGAAGCCCTGGAAAGTGTGGAAGAGCTGTCTGTGACAGCAATTACCTATCTTATGGAAAATTCCTCTGGTCTTTCTCCGTGCTGAGGTCCATCACAGTTCACCATCAGCYATGACAGGAAAACCTTAGGGGCTACCCTGTATCCAGTTACTTTACTGATAGTTGTGCAGAGAGAATAACACTCTTGAGCATAGTTTACTTTCTTTACTACATCATGCACCTTTTCTCTCCATCCCTGATCTGACTTCTTGAACTTACCCTTGTGTTTTACCAAGATCAGCTATAGCAGAGTAGTGCCTGTTTTGTCTCTTGTGTTGGCTATTTACAAGTGTATTACTGCTGACACTGTCCACAATTTGGTTTGCGAAATCTTTCCTATGAAATTCAGAATTTAATAGTTTAAACTCCTGYCGTATCCCATAAGAAAGCATGTTTTTATTGGTCTTGCCCATCTCCAACACAGTACCAGCTCTTGATTTCCCAGGTGAGAACTGATTAGCCACGGACCGTTAGTGCATTGACTGGTAGGTTTCCAAAGCACTACTGCAAACCGCATTCAGTGGTTGGCCTACCTTATTTGCATTTCTAAGTGCTTGAGGGTGAAAACAGGCCCCTGTCATAGTTTTATGAAAACCTGTTCCTTCACAAGGAAAATATGGAAAACAGTGTTAGTCATCCCAGCTCTTCACAGCATTTAGTTCCACACATTCAGCAGGATTGTTCTCACCATGAATACTGTTCAGCCTGTATGGAAACACCAGCAACTGAAAATTAAGCCTTTCCAGTCTAGCATGAATGGAAAAGCCTCGCCATCTTTTCCAGCTGAGAAATGGCTGTTTATTCTGGAGTTTTAAAGAATCTGCTGTGCTTTCCATGGCCTCAGCTCAGAGAAGAATGACCCCATTCCATCTGTTGGATGGCTTGGCTGCTGGCTGGAACAGCAAGAATTTGGGAATATACAGGATCACATCCAGCCTCAGCCACTGAGATTGCTGGATTAAAAAGTGTCCTGTGTTAGCTTGGAAAATGAAAAATGTCTCCTATGAGACCATTTAAGCTGTGAAGGCAAGCACCAGTGTGTGCGTATTAGACAGATAGTGCACTAATCCCGTCTAATCGGTTACAGACTCTGAGCATGTGGGGGCTTTACTGGCACAGAGACCCGGCCTGTAGCATCAGATCAGTTAAATCCCCTCTCCCCAGTCTTTTTTAAGGATGAAGAGAATGAAGTACAAGCATTCCTAACCTATTTCAGGCACACAGATTTAAAAAATTAGAGGTAAAATTAAGGTAGGTAGAGCCAAGGAACTCAAAAGATGGCCTCAAACTTCTTTAGGTTTTATTTACAGGAGTACCTGATTGTAGAGGATGAATTCTCTACAAAAAAAAAAAACAAACAAACAAAAAAAGAACAAAAAAAAAAAAAAAAACCAAAAAACTTGCAATCCTGCAAGACCCACAGAAAATTTCATAAATTACTTTGACATTGAGGAAGTACATTGGGATAATCATCTCCTTAAAAGATCTTCTCTATCTTTGATACCACAAAACATTCTATGTGTTATTCTGTGATTGAGAATTTATGCATTTTAATCCCAGAGTATAACCACAACCAATATTTAATATTCAATGAAAGTACATATTTTGAATTTCTAATTGAGCCTTATGCTTAACATAAGTTGCCAAAGGGACTGTTGGTTTCTTCTAAGCATCATAATATATACAAGTGACAGGCAGACCGTTTGTGGTTGTTCAGTATCACTGGTCAGTGATTACTCACTGACTCCATCAAGACTTCCTGCACAGGGACATGTACACCACTTTTTATGGAGCCACTTTTTATTTCATTGAGCACCAGAAGAGCACAGGATTCAGGTGTATTTTTTTAAATTCACATGACATGGCTTTAAAGATTGATTCGTGAAAAGCAGTTTCCATGAAACTGATTGTTCATAATATATTAGTACAGATGGGATTTTAAGGGTAATGAAGATATTATATGGTGGAATCACAATTCATTTGCCAGGCAAATTGGCAGACCAGCTGCAAGGACTTAAAGAGAACCATTGCCTGTCTCAAATACTGTTAAGGCCAGAGAAGGACTTTGCCATGAAATAAGCAGAGTGAAGCAACAGGACAGCACTAACTCCAGGCTTGCCTGAGGCGAGATCCTGGTTAATGCATCCGGACAAAAATTCCCACTGTGGCAAACTGTTTGAAGAGGCAACTGTTCATATGCATATCACTGGTTAAAGATCACCCCAAGTTAAGTGATAGATGGCATCTGCGACCACCAACCACTGAAGCTCCCCTGAATATGCCTCTGTGGATGCCTGGAACTTAGACTGTACATTAAGCCACCACAGGGAAGTTGACATAAGAAAAGGATGGTGGCGTTGTCCAGGCATTTTCTCAGACCTAGGAAGTTAACAAGCTGGGAGAAAAGGATCTATCACTGATAATGGACATAAAGAATGCAGAATTTACAGAGCGCAAGGAAAGCCAACTCAGCACTGTGCTGAAATCAGCTCTGACTGGGTAAAAGGTAATCATGGCAAGGGGAGATAGTAATCACTAACTCTTAACCCACCGACTCAAGAAACCCACTGGCTCAGAAGAAAACACTGGGCATGGGACTAATTAGCTTTAGAAATGAGAGAATAATTAACCAATATAGTAAGATAACTGTATAGCCAAAGAGCTTTAATTACTTTGTTTGTTAAAACATATAAATAGTGAAGTTTTGAATGACCTCTGAACCCCCTCCACTGAGAAGCCCAGRGTAAAGAAGGAACAGAAACACTTTTGGATCCATGGGTGCTGACTGTCTTCTGCTTGAACTCTCTCTCTCTCCTCCCACCCCTTGCCTCTTTTCTCTTTCTTTCTATCTATCTCTCTAATTCACATTCGTTGATAAATAAAATCTGTACTATTGAATTTGGCATAGGTTTCTTTTTGTACCTTAATTCAAGCAGGGGCCTCTCTCACTGGTCAGGACTTAATACCATCTGGGGAAAAATGCAATATTCTGCATGAACAGAGATATCTTCAAAGGAAAAAAAAAAGGATTGAAACTCAATTATTTATTGAAATGACAGAATGAGTAGCTCAGTATCTCATTATGATGCTTCTCGAAAACCCATCTATATACAGGAAAAGGAAGAAAAAAGCAGTGCATCGTAGGAGTGGAGCCAGGGGACTTCAAACTATTAGAAATCTGTTAA